CCCCCCCCCAGGGGAAGGGAAGGGTCAACCACTTCTTAATGTAACCGGGAAACCCTGAAAAAGGGTCAGAATCATTTCATAGCACATGATGATGATAATGATGGTGATGATGACGAGAGCTCCAACGGAGCTTCTCCAAAGAGCACTTAGCCTTGAGATCCCTTGGTAAGATCCCAGGCGAGGAAGGGCTGCTCTGATTTTCAGACCCACCGAGGGGGGTGCAAGACCCAGTTTTCCTAGCCAGACACCTGCAGACCTTCGAGTCAGCCATTTCGGGCATTATTGCGGAGGGGGGGCACGCAGACAAGCGAAACATATGCATGTCAGCTGGTAAGCAAGGGATCGTTTGTACCCCGATCCGAATCGTGTATTTTAATGTGCACAAAGACACGTTTAATGTGCTTGAGGCACGCTGGGTATGCAAACTGTACTAAGCCAGCATACCACCTGTATTATTCTCTGCAGGGTGTGGGGGTGTGTGGGGGTGACCTCTTAGCCCCACCGGCATCACTGCAGACCTCCGAGCCCCTAAAGTCCATTTCAGCACCACGGAGAGCAGCGCTCAAGCTGATAGGCAGGCAAGCTGTCCCAGCGAAACACCTGAGAGTCACCTGGGAAGGCTTTTATAATCCAGGGGGAGGGGCTTCCTGGAAGCTCCGCCTTCTCAGGCAGGTGGAGCAGCTGATTCTCAAAAGGGGCAGTCTGTGACCCTCTTTGGGTCCTGTCCTGTCCTCCTTTCCTTCCCTATAAGAAACACGCATTGATTTTTTCAAAAAGTTTTTTTAAAGCTTTTTATTTGGCACAGAAAGGGTGGGAGGTGAGTGAGAAAGGACCCCCCCAAAAAAAAAATTGGGGAGAAATTTCACATCACGGAGGGGCGAGGGGCGCCCGGCTCTGGCGAAGGAGCATCAAATTTGATCTGCAGCCATGATTTGTGATTTGGTGATCCAGTGGAGGGGAGGGGAGTGATCTTTGGCCAGTGAGGAATCTGGTTGGCTTCAACGACTGCAAAACAATAGCAGGAAAGTTGTGAATGAACACCCCTGGGTTTTGGGGAACCCAGACTCTACCTTGAAGTCACTGCAACAGGTTATTCTTTTTCAGAGCTGTTTTTTCCCCCCGCTATGGAAGATTCTAGACCTGTTTGAGGATCAGTGACTGTCTGAAGCCATCAGCTCCAGCTGGAAGCATCTGGATCCTTGTGTCAACCCAAGGGACGATCTTGCAGTAAAGGGTCTAACTCTGCCCTGTAACACTCAGCTTCCCAACCACACCAAGAACCCGAAAGTTGTCGAGCAATGCTACACTCACCTGAGCATCTTGGCACACACATCTGCAATGCAAAAAAAAGAGAGAGAGAGAGATTATGAGCAATGGAACATGGGGTTGGGGGCTTTCGAAACCATCCATAATAACCTTATAATAAGTGATCAAGGAGGTGCCATTATTAACTTCTTTGAGTTTTATAACTGTTCATCAGGAGTTGGACACAGGCTGGGGCTTTGCACGTCTGATTGCTCGGGCATGGAGCTTTGAAGGAACTGGGTCTCTATAGGGAAAACCTATGCAAGATTTTGCTTGATGTGGGAGCTGGCTCAGCCTAGCCTCTGGAGTGCCAGGTCAGGAGGTCCTACTCACCAGACTCGGGGAGGGCGACCATCAAATCATCCGTGAGCCCGAGGTGGTGGTAATGTTCCTTGAATTTCTCCATCATTTCTGGAGTCGCTTCTGGAACTCTGGCTGTATCCAGGAGAGATCAGCATTAGGGCCCTTTTGCCGTTTGATCCCCCGCATCATCTCCCCTCCCTAGTTCTTGGAAGGACCATCATACTTAAGAGTTGGAGGGTGGTGCTGCTCGGCTCCCCGGGCACCTCCTTGAAGTAGTAGAGGAAGCCATGGGTCTCGTAGTCCGTGGCCATCACCCGTATGTCTTTTCTGCCATTCTCTGTAAGACGAAGGCAAGCCACGTTAGCACGAGACTGTGTCGCCCCACAACCCCACTGCGCGCTCTCTCTCTCCCCCCCCAAGTCGGCCCACCCCAAACTCTCCTCCATCCCTGGCTTAGAGGAAGTTGGAAAGAACTAGCAAAATGTAACACACAAGTTTGTAACTGCAGTGGTGCCTCGCTAGACAGTTACCCCGCATGTCAGTTTTTTCGCTAGATATTGACTTTTTGTGATCGCTATAGCGATTCGCAAAACAGTGATTCCTCTGGGGGGGAATTTCGCTGGACAGTGTTTGGTCCCTGCTTCGCAAACTGATTTTCGCTAGACAACAATTTGCTTTTCGCTAGACAATGATTTCGCTAAACAGCGATTTCAGTGGAACGGATTATCATCGTCTAGCGAGGCACCACTGTACTTCCTTTGGAGGTGACGAAGATGTCACTGAGCTATGCATTTCAAAAGTGGTGGGGTGAATAGAGTCAACGTGACTCGGAGTGTAATAAACAACATTTCCCAGTTTCTTTATGACAAATCTTACCCTCGTTCGTGAAGTGGCCCGGCCAGTCTGTCTTCTTCAGCAGCATGTCTAGCGAGGCACCACTGTAGTTCCTTTGGAGGCGACGAAGATGTCACTGAGTTGGGTGAATAGGGTCAACGTGACTCAGAGTGGAATGAACAACGTTTCCCATTTTCTTTATGACAAAGCTTACCCTCGTTCGTGAAGTGGCCCGGCCGGTCTGTCTTCTTCAGCAGCATGCCCACTTTCTTGCATTCTCCGGCACTGAAATAAAAAAGGCAGAGGAAAAACAGGGAGAAGCAGGCGCCCGGTTTTAGAAGGAGGTGTTCTCTCGTACTGGGGGTGTCCAACCAAATTCTCCTGCCTCGTTCGCACAGATGGGTGGGGTCCTGTGAACTCAACATCCTGTTGGGTTTAACTTGGTGCCAGTTTTTAAAGAATGGGAATCAAGCAGAATCTCTAGAGTGATAAAGGCTCAGAGCTGAAGGTTAGAAAAGTTAATTTTTTTTTTTTGGATCACCCGTCAGCTGCCCCCAGCCAGCTCCTCTCCAAAGAAATTTTGCTCAGTTCTATCACTTATTTATTATTCCTTTTATGATTTCTGTCCTGCCGATTATGGTTTCTAGCGCCAGCCTTCTCACTGGCACGAAGATGTTTCTTTGTCTGCCAGAGACACACAGAATTTGGAAAGAGGGACTCACATAGGGTAGCCGACCATCAGGTGCATGTCGCCGTTCGGGAGGGGTTTCACGATGGCGGCCGACGTGGTCATGGTGTCCCTCATGCTCTGGAAGATGGGGCAGTTGGAAACCGCCGCCATGATGTGCCAGGTGCCTGAAAACTAGAGAGGGTGCATCAATCATGGCATTACAGACTTGGGGAACTCAAAGGTCATCTAGTCCAACCCCAGGAAAAACCCAGGCAGTTACAGACGCGTGCGTTGGGAGGCCAAGGAGGTGATGATGGTTAGCCACCCACTCCCCCATACCTTCTCGAGATCAAAATCTGGCTGGACGGGAACTTCAGCCTGAGCGCAAAACACGCCCAGCAGGAGCATCAGAAGGCGGTGCAGAGCGGCCATCGTTCGTGCGTCTCTTGCTTGCCCACGGAGAACACGCTGAGCAGAGGAGATGCTCTGGCCCCTCGAAAGCCCCCGCTTTATCTCTCTCCTCTCGGGGGTGGGACGGCCCCCGAAGGACAAACACACGCCTTCTCCCCGCCCCACCGGCCCCTCCCCCCCCAGCCC